GCTTCCCCATGGCTTGCTCAGCCGGATTTCTTACACAACCCAGGACCATCTGCCCAGCAGCTGGACAGCCCACGGTGGACTGGGCACACTCACATCAATCATTAACCAAGAAAATGCCCCCAAAGGCACACCTGCAGGCCAATCTGTTGGGGGCATTGAGTTGAGGTTCCTTTTCCACAGACTACCCTACCTTGTGTCAAGTTGACAGAGAATTAGCCAGCACGAGAGTGGTGTAAGAAGACACTTGAGGGCTGGAGAGATGGCCCAGGGGTTAAGAACACTGGCTGCTCTTCTAGAGGACCCAGGTTCAATTCCCAGTAGCCATATAGCAGCTCACACCTGTCTGTAACTCCAGTTCCAGGGACCTGACACCTTCACACAGATATTTATGCAGGGCAAAAACATCGTTGCACATAAAATAAATAAATTTTTTTAAAAAAGAAGATACTTGACACTGTGGCCACCAAATGCACTAGCATTTATGTGCATGCACATGTGAACATGTACCACACACATGCATGCACAAAGTTGGAGGAAAAAGGAGTCAAACTAGAAGGGGAATAGTCAGATATCTTCCATTTACTCCCCGCTTGTCCACAGGGAATGGAATACAGATAGGTGCTCATTACCTTCCAGGAGCAGGAATTTTGAGTGTGTGAATGAAGGTGTCTCCTGTGTAAGCACACGGAGATGGGGGTGTGTCAGCCCCGACTCAGACGTCTCCTGTCTCCTCTCCTAATCTTTCTCCTGCTCTCCAGCCCTGCCCCAGGTCTGGCCTCTAGCAAGAGCAAATTAAGGTGACTTGGATGTTTGTCCCGGCACAGACCTAGCCCAACAGCCCTTGGCAGAGAGTAGCAGTGGCCTGGCACCTCACCACAGGACTAAGGGAATTATCATGACTAAGAGGGAGGAGGGATACTGTGGCAGAGGGAAGAACAGCAGAAGGAATAGGCAACCTGGGGCTGGCCAATCTGGCATGACGGGCCACCTGGGGAACCCTGGACATCCGCCCAGCCAAGCTTCTCTCTTCCCCTCCCCTTAGGCCACAAGATGCCAGTGTATGCGAGACACGTGTGCCCTTCCTGTCTGGTGAGGGTTCACCTGGCCTAGGTGATGCATTTGGATTAGAGTCAAGATCTGGGTTCGAAATAGAACAGAACAAAGTGTGTGTGTGTGTGTGTGTGTGTGTGTGTGTGTGTGTGTGTGTGTGCACAAGCTTCTTATAGATGTGTTTCTTTTTTAGACAAGGTTTTACGCAGTTCAAGTCTGGCCTTGAACATCTAACCTCCTACCTCCCTCCAGGGTGCTGGGATCACGACTGTGAACTACCACACCTAGTTTATGGAGGTATGTGTGTGCTAAATTAGCATTCTACAATTGAGCTGTATCATCACCCCCACTTCTGTGTTTTCTATATGCACATCATGTATACTGATAACACAGAATTGGAACTATGACCATCATGGGGACACGTGTGCACGGCTATAAAGAGTCCTCTCCACCTGATGTGGATACATGGACGCAGGGCAGTGCATTCTGCCGATGTGGGGTGGAGTTTACTCTGAGACCGCTTGGGGTGGAGAAATGAGTAGCTAAGTATGAACGCAGGCCTCTCCAGTAAAAGCTGAAATCTACCATCTGAGCCCAAAGATGAGCTCAGGGGACGAGCACTGAGTGCAGGGGACGTTGCAATGCCTCACAGTAGGTAAAGTAAGGGGCACAGTCCCCTGCAATGGAGTAAGGGAAGGGAGACACACTGCCTGCTTCTCTGTAGCTTACACACTGCAAGGAGTTTGTTTCCAGTTTTAGGAGAGTGGAAGTGAAATGGGGACTTCAGACCTGCTCCCCCTGGCCCCCAGTGCCCGAAGTCCCAGAAATTGAAGGTCCTTATTTTTTAATCTTAATACTAAACTTAATCCTTTAATCAATTTATTCCAGGCTGGAGAGGCAGCTCAGCAGTTAAGAGTACTTACTGCTCTTGCAGAGGACCCGAGTACTGAAGTACTGTCCCCAGCACTCACTTCAGGTGACTGGCAACCACCAGGAGGATCCAGCAATTCTGGACCTCATGGGTGAAGGGACCCGCACACAATGTGCTCCCTCCCAGAGCCCAGATTAGGTACAAACCACACACAAACACCTGTTTTCTTTTACAAAAGAAAGTGGCGGATTTCTGACCCAGGCAGAAAACAGCAGCAAATGGTCTTGTAGGTGTGATTTTTAAGGGGTAAAAAGAGGCTGGGTGTTGGTGGCACAAGTTTTAATCCCAGCACTTGGAAGACAGAGACAAGCAGATCTCAGTGAGTTCAAGGCCAGTGTGGTCTACAAAGCAAGTTCTAGGACAGACAGGATTGTTACACAGAGAAACCTGTCTTGAAAAGCAAAAAAAAAAAAGGGGGGGGAGAAAGAGGTCTGTGTTAGAATGGGCTACGATTTGGTGGTACGTTTTGATTGGGCATGTTAATTAGGGCAGCCAAAAGGGATGGGCTTCAGTACTTTGATACTTTGGTGATCAGCCTTAGGAATGAGTCTGGCATAAGAAAGTGTCCAAATAAGGATAGAGACCTTGGTGACCAGATTTGGGGTGCAATCTATGGGAGGAGGAAGGAGGGAGGGCAAGGCCTGCCAGAGCCATGCTTGCCATGCCAGGGCCTGCTAGAGCCCTTTAGTGGGCACCAGCACTCATATGCACTCATATGCACATACCCATACACAGTGACACACATACTTAAAATAATAATAAATGCTATTCTAAGATGGGCATAGTGGCGTGCACCTTTAACCCGGGCACTCAAGAGTCAGAAGAAGCAGGGTTCTGTGAATCTGAACCCAGTCTGGTCTACAGAGTGAGTTCCAGCACAGCAAGAAACAAAAAATTTATTGATCTCAAATAAATAAATAAATGTTATTCCACATATCGCTTTTTGATTGTTTGGTTTTGGTTTTTTGAGACATAGTTTCTCTGTGCAACAGTTCTGGAATGTATTTTGTAGACCAGGCTGGCCCCGAAGTCACTGAGATCCACCTGCCTCTGCCTCCCAAGTGCTGGGATTAAAGGTGTGCCAGCACCGCCCGGCTCTGGATAAAGTCTAATCCACTTATTTTATTGGTTTCAGAAAAGAGTTGAGTGAGCTAAGATAAAACAGAGAACGAGATAGTAAGGAGAAGCGGAAACTGCAGTAGGAGACAATGAGAGGTCCTGGCTGGGGTGGATTCTTGGTGCGTCTTCAGTTGGCAGTCGAGGCTCCTTAAAGCTGAGGAACACAGATGCCTCCAGATGGAGATTCTCCATGTCGCTGGAAACAACTCTTCACTCTTAATTAAAAGGTTTTGATTCGAGGCGAGGTTTAATGCAGTCCTGCCTGGTCTTGAACATTTGATCCTTCCGCCTCTACCTCCTAGATGCTAGGATTTCAGACATGCACTAGAGGCACCTAGAAAGGCAGAAAAGCTGCCTACAGAAGCACCGCGTTCCTTGCAGGTGACAAGCAGGAACTGCCACCTCATTGGAGAACAATCTGTTGAAACATGAATGTCCTGTAGCTTACTTAGGAATTGATAAGAGTTTATCCTGGACATGTTCACATTTATATAGGTAAGGACAATGATGCCAACAACTTTGGTAGAAAAGTTGGAAGTCACCCAGTGCATGAATAGGAACTAACCAGTGGCTAATTCATGGTCTTCCTGTACAATGGAGAACTAACTTACTCGGCATTAGATAACACCAAACCAGGTCTTTGTCTTGAGACACGACACAATCTCTGTTAGTTTAAGTGAAAAAAATTGCAAAACAGTTTAAATGTTTGCATAAGTGAAAACATTTTGCCAAAAACTACTCAAGAAACTTCAACATGGCTACCTCAAGAGATAGAAATAAAAGTGAGATAAGAGAAGCCTTTAATTTTTAGTTAAGTATGTACTCTTAGCCCAGCATGGCAATACACAGTAATTTAGGACTCAGAATGCAGAGGCAGGTGGACCTCTGTAAGTTCAAGGCCACCCTGGTCTACACAGTGAGCTCTAGGTTATCTAGAGCTGTATAGTGAAACCTTGTCTCAAAAATAACACAGGAATACTCTTGTGTGCTGTTATCACCCACTACCATTATCAAATTTTGCATTATGGCAATTTTTATATAAATAAGCTATTTTCGAAGCACAACATTAGATGTTTAAACAGGAGCAAACACACACACACACACACACACTCGTCAAAAAAGGCAATCTTTCAGGGTGTGCCTGTTTCAGACCCCCAATGCAGTCCTGTCTGGTTTTTTCTGTGGGAGCTAGGGTTTCAAACTTAGATCCTCACACTTGCAGCTAAAGGGCTCTCACCCATTTCAGGATTACTGAGTGTGTCCGGGGAATCATATTATCTGACTCGGTTTCTCTCCTTTGCCAAGCTCACAGGTGAAAAAATTGGCGTTAGGCGGGAAGCAAACGCTGTAAGTAGGAAAGGGTGTATCCGAACCCGTGATTCTACAGACGGGCAGGCAACGCGCATTCCGGGCTTTCACACGGCGCCGAGCCCCTGCGGGGCGCACCCGTGCCCAGCGCGCACGAGGCTCCACGCTCAGGGGACTCGCGCGCACGCAGCGGCGCGGCCCCGGCGGCGGCGGCAGCGACGTCACAAGCCGAGCTTTCCTTTTCGGGAGTCCCCGGCATACATCCTGTGTCCATGTTTGGTCATTTACGTCACGGCGCCAGGGCCGGGGCCTCCCGAAATGGCAGTGGCCCGGGGAGTCGGAAGCCCGGAGCCAGCACCGCCTCGCCTATATAAGTGGGGGGACTGTGGGCTGGGGGAGCCTGGGTGCGCTTTGGAGAGACCAGGAGCCGCTGCCCGAGGCCGGTACGGGCGAGCCAGGGCGTCGCGGTCCCCCAACTCGCGTTCCTGAACCAAGCAAGAGTCCGGAGCTCGGAGCTAGGGCGCCGGGCTTCCCCGCCAGCCGCGCGCGCCCCAGCCCAGCGAGGCCCCGGGCGCCCCGCCGCCACCGCGCCATGCTCCACCTGAGCGACTTCTCCGGCCCCGACGCGCACCTCGCCAAGGCCACCGAAGGCTGCGTCCACGCCAGCCCCGAGCTTCCCCGGCTGCCCGCCCGGGACGCTCCCTCGGCCGCCACCTATCCTGCAGGTAAGGAGAGGGACTAGGGGCGCGCAGACGGCGACCACGGCGAGGGGTGGTGGAAGAGGCGCGGGGGGTGGGGAGGTGTCCCAAAGCGCGCAGTACCGTTCCCACCCCCAACAAGGCCGCAGGCTCCCGTGCGGGAGCCCGTGAATGTTTGCGTCCCGGGGCGTCCGTGGGGGTATCCCCCGCTGCGGCTCGGAAGTGCACGAGGCGCTCGGCTGATTGCTTGCGCCCCGGAGGGTCTGGTGGAATTGGTCGCGGCTGCAGGATCGGGGGGGCACGCCCTTTGAGATGAGCAGGGGGGCTGATGCGTGGTCCCTCCCTCGGCAGGCGACTTCTTGAGCTGGGCTCTGAGCGGCTGCAGCGCCGGGGGGGACTTAGCCGACTCCTGCTTCCTGGAAGGCCCCGCACCCACGCCCCCTCCGGGCCTCAGCTACAGCGGCAGCTTCTTCATCCAGGCGGTCCCCGAACACCCGCACGACCCGGAGGCCCTCTTCAACCTCATGTCGGGCATCTTGGGCCTGGCACCCTTTCCCAGCCCCGAGGCGGCCGCGTCTCGGTCCCCGCTGGATGCCCCGTTCCCCGCGGGCCCCGATGCCTTGTTGCCGGACCTTTACTCCCCGGACCTGAGTTCAGCCGCCTTCCCGGAGGCGTTTTGGGAGGCCGCGCCTTCGGCGGGAGCCCCCTCGCAGTGCCTGTTCGAACCCCAGCTCTCCCCGCCCGACGTCAAGCCGGGACTGCGGGCGCCTCCCGCTTCGCCGGCGCTGGACGCTGCTGCCTCGGCCTTCAAAGGGCCGTATGCCCCCTGGGAGCTGCTGTCTGCGGGGGCCCCGGGGAATAGTGGGTCACAGGGAAGCTTCCAGGCCACTCCCGAGGCCCGTTTCCCCGCGGTAGGGACCAAAGTTGAGGACCTGCTGTCCATCAGCTGCCCCGCCGAGCTGCCGGGCCCGGCCACCAGACTCTTCCCGGCAGGGGCTTACGACGCCTTCTCGCTGGCCCCGGGTGATTTAGGGGAGGGGACCGAGGGCCTCCCGGAGATGCTGACCCCTCCCGGCGGGGAGGGAGGGAGCCGTGGCGAAGGCGGTGAGTTCCTGGCCACCTCGCAGGCGCAGCTGTCCCCGCTGGGCCTGCGCAACGCCGCCACGGCGGACTTCCCCAAACCCCTCGTGGCCGACCTCCCGGGGGGCAACAGCGGAGTGGCCCCATCGGTGTCGCCCGCCGCCGCCGCCTTTCCCGCTGCCAAGGGCCGGCGCAAGGGACGCCGGGGTGGCAAATGCAGCGCGCGCTGCTTCTGCCCGCGGCCGCACGTCAAGGCCTTCGCCTGCCCGGTGGAGAGCTGCGTGCGGAGCTTCGCCCGCTCCGACGAGCTCAATCGCCACCTGCGCATCCACACGGGTCACAAGCCCTTCCAGTGCCGCATCTGCCTGCGCAACTTCAGCCGCAGCGACCATCTCACCACGCACGTGCGCACCCACACCGGTGAGAAGCCTTTCGCCTGCGACGTGTGTGGTCGCCGCTTCGCGCGCAGCGACGAGAAGAAACGGCACAGCAAGGTGCATCTGAAGCAGAAGGCGCGCGCCGAGGAGAGGCTCAAGGGCCTGGGCTTCTACTCGCTGGGCCTCTCCTTCGCCGCGCTCTGAGCTAGAGCTGGCCCTGTAGGTTGGGGACGCCGCCGCCCGGCGCACGCGGCAAGGTCCGCCCAGTCCCTCGCTCCCGCTACCCTTCCTGCCTCTTCCACGCACGTCCGGGGCCACCCTCAGTCCAGCTCCAAATCCCCTGAAGTGCCCGCCGCACACGCCCTTTCAGCACGGGCTCCGTGGACAGCGCCTGCTGTCCTGGAGCCGCCTTCCTCCTAACCAGCGGCGCTTGTGACGGTCCTCTTCGGCCACCCACAGAGCAGACACTCCCTTTGGGACTGAAGAGGTTTTTTTTGTAACTGGTATATGCCCCACGCCCTCCTCTTTATCCTTCCCCAGAGACAAAGCTGGGGAAATGTCGAGCCGGTCTCTCGAGAACTTTGTATAGCGATGTCCAGCAAGCCTTTGGATGTGACGTTTTTGCTTTGGAGTTATTTCGTTTTTGTTGTCGTTCATTTTTGTAAAGCAGACGCTACTCTCAAGCACTTGACAAAACTGTTTATTTTTGCAATTAAAATTATTGTGCTAAAAGCTTACTGAATCTGCCTTGTAAACTCCTAGCCCTTCCTAATTTCCCTTCCAGGACAGCACATGCCAGGAGACAGGAAATACACCCATTGGTGAGATGCAGGCCCCTGGCACATTACTCCGACAGGATACTGACATACGTGAAGCAGTTCATAAATATATAGAGGATGAATTGATGCTTTTATTCACAACTGATTTAGGGGTTATGTTTCTGGAACCAAACGTAAAAGGCGTAAGTAGTAAACATGATTGGTATGATTTTCTCTGAGTCTCAGTTTCTAGTACAATTTCAAAACAGAAATCAGTCAATATAAGTTGGTTGCTGCAGGTATTCTAGTAGAAACAACAAGGGTCAGGTATTTCTAACTCCAGCCTCGGTGGCTGGTTTCCCAGCCCCGGAGAGAGAACCATTTGGAAAAGGCTTTCAAACAGGTAACGAGAAAGCTTCGGCACTAGAGGGCGCGCTGGGCAGCAGAGGCTGCCGAATTAGAGTGGGGTTTATGAATGCTAAGTGTTTGCTATCACAGATACATCTGCTCAAGAGTCATACGCTGTGGTCCGGGTTCACCTAGGCCGCGCCTGAGTCTGTTGAGGGCGGGGCCTGAGGCTCCTGGTTCCTTTAGTGGCTCTGCAACCGAAGGACCCTGTCCAGGTGACAGTAGTCCATTTACTGAACAGCCAGACTCCTGCCACAATCACGGGCCTTTTCAGAACTCTACTTCCAGATGAACCCTTCATGGTTTTTGGGTGCAGGCAGGAGGGTGGTGAGAAAAGCTTGATCCTGTAATAGGGAAGATGAGTCACCCCTTTATTCTCTGTTCGTCCTCCTCAAAGCCTTCTCAATGTTGGGCAGTGTGAAAAGCCTACTGTGTGCCACACTGTACCTCTCTATGCTAAGGCAAGGAGAGGGCCTATATCTGATGACTTTGTTCCTTTCCGCTTCAAGCTAAGCTGCTCTGTGTGTGTGTGTGTGGTGTTTAGAGGTCAACTTTATCATTCCTCAGGAGCCACCTACTTAGTGCTTTTTGGTTGTCTCTCTGTATGCGTGTATATGTCTGTGCACGTGTGTTTGCACGTGCACACCTATGCGAAGGCCAGGGGAGAATGTCAAGCGCCCTCTATCACACTACACCATGTTTTTTAGCTTTACTTACTTTAGGTGCATAAATGCGTTGCCTGATGTGCACCACATTGTGACTCTGATGTCAGAAAACAGTATCAGATCCCCGGGAACTGGAGTTAGCATGAGCCACTCCATGGGTTGTAGGAACTAAAACCCCTGTCCTCTCTAAGAGTAACACATTTCTTAACCAGACCATCTCCTCAGCTTCCTTCTGGTTTTTTTTTGTTGTTTTGTTTTTTGAGTTTTTTGGTTTGCATTTTTGATTTTGTGTTTGGTTTTGCTTTTGAGATGGTCTCGCACCTAACCTTGGTTTTGTTTTGTTTTTGAGATGGTCTCGCACTAACCTAACTTGCCTACAGTTTCGTCAAGGCTTACCAGAGAGTAAATTTCCTAGTACATTTCCTCGATGCACCTGTTTCCACCCACCCTGGGTCACAGCACCTACAAGTAGTCATGCTTGGTTTTTACAGTATACTGGTTACCAAATCACAGACCCTCAGCCAGGCAGTGGTGGCACATGCCTTTAATTCCAGCACTTGGGAGGCAGAGGCAGGTGGATCTCTGAGTTTGAGGCCAGCCTGGTCTACAGAGTGGGTTCCAGGACAGCCAGGTCTACACAGAGAAACCCTTTCCCAAAAACCAAAAAGAAAAACAACAACAACAACAAAAATCAGACCCTCTTGCTAGCACAGCAAAAGAGCTTACTTCCTGATCCATATCCCCAGCCATCTAGGTTTTTGTTTGGTTTTGTTTTTCAAGACAGGATTTCTTTGTGTAATTCTAGCTGTCCTGGAACTCACATTGTAGACCAGGCTGGCCTTGAACTCCAGGGTCTAACAGCCTCGGCCTCCTAAATGCTGGGATTAAAAGTGTGCACCACCACCCTGGTCCACAGCCATCTATCTTGCTTAGCTTTTGTTTTGCTGAAGAAACATAGCTTTACTGAGGAAAAATAAGAAAAAAAATAACTCCCCAGAGTGGGAAGTGGATTTGGAGATGAGGTCTCTGTCACTGGTCTAGGCTGATGGAACTGCCAGTGAAGCCTAGGGATCCTCCTATTTCTGACTCCCCAGAACAGGCATTATAACCTGCCCAAGATTTTCTTTTTTTAACATGGATTCTGGGGCTGAACTGTAAATCCTCATGCTTGCAAGGCAAGCACCTGACCAACCGAGTGCTCCCTCAACCCTCAGCTGCTCTTGCACCAGGAAGGCCCATAGCCAGATGAGGGATTTGGGACTCTGGCTTCTTCTCTCAGATATGCTTGCCTTCTGTTGTCACACACCTGTGACAGTCTCCTCTGAGATTAAGGGGAGTTCCTTAAGCAGCGAGGTACACGACAACAACAGAGCTTTAAGAACTCCCTAAAACTGACTGGACTCACTAAGCCCCTCCCTCAAAGGCTAAGCAGAGCCCAGCTGCAAAGAAAACTCAGAGGAGCTGAGCTGCCAAGAAGGCTGAGAGGAGACTACAAAGAGGACTCTGAGGCTAGACAAGGTGCCTGGAAATTTCAGAACCCAGGGGAGCGGCTGGAAGAGGTTTAGAACAGCTGGGGGCAGGGGACACTCACCCACCCGCTGCCTGCGGGCTGTGTGGTGTGCCCCGCATTTCCCAGCTTGTAAGAGTGAGCCACCCATGCTAGGGTGGGCTGTGGTGCTGCGGCTGTCTTTGAGTCATTTCTGTCCCTGTAAGTAAAACTGTGCCAGTAGAACTCAGGTCACCAGGTGACTTTGGTGGTATCCGTATTTTTCACTGCCACAGGTTCTCTATCTGGTGAGTAGATGAATGTGTTTCATCTCCTCAGGAAATGTTTGTTACCCAGTGCAATCCTGACAGCTGACAGAGACAAAATGATCTAGTTGGAGATGTCTAACCTTTTCCCTCCCCAGGTATTAAGTGTCCTCTCAAGACTGATAGCTTCTGTCTAATAAACTAATTGTAACAAATAATTTGATACTGCTTCTTCCAAGAGAACTGGCATTTTAGGATAATGGACTGCAGAGGGCAATCTTTACCCTTTGGCACTCCAGTGATGGATTGCCAGACACAGTGAGATGAATGGTGGATTCAGGAGACCTGAGATAAAAGGTGAACCTCATTATCTTTCTAGTTAATTGACTACACCTTCATCCACAGGCATGAACCCCAGATTTTTATTTAGATGCAAAGTAGGGTAAGGGAGAGCATAAAGGCCCGTATTTTAAGCAGCACCAAACCACACCACCTGAACAAGAAAGGACATACAAGACAGGCCATCAGCAAGATGGTGGTGTTGGTCTCTGAACAAGAACATTTGCTTGCTTCTGCTGGGTCCATCACTGTGGTCATCTCTGTCCCTTCCCAGGTTGTCCTTAATGTTAAACTTAGCATGATAAGAAAAGGGAACTCAGGGAGCTGGAGAGATGGCTCAGAGGTTAAGAGCATTGCCTGCTCTTCCAAAGGTCCTGAGTTCAATTCCCAGCAACCACATGGTGGCTCACAACCATCTGTGATGGGGTCTGGTGCCCTCTTCTGGCCTGCAGGCATACACACAGAAAGAATATTGTATACATAATAAATAAATTTTTTTTTTGTTTTTTGTTTTTCGAGACAGGGTTTCTCTGTAGCTTTGGTGCCTGTCCTGGAACTAGCTCTTGTAGACCAGGCTGACCTCAAACTCCCAGAGATCCGCCTGCATCTGCCTGGGATTAAAGGCGTGCGCCACCACTGCCCGGCAAATAAATATTTTTTTAAAAAAAAGAAAAGGGAACTCAGGCTGAAGAGATGGGTCAGCAGAGTACTAACTGCTCTTTCAGAGGACCCGAGTTCAATTTCCAGGACCCACATGGCAGCTCACAACTGTCTGTAACTCTAGTTCTAGGGAATCTAACACCCTCACACAGACATACATGTAGCCAAACACCAGTGCACATAAAATTTAAAATGTAAAGGGGTGGGGGAACTCCAGAGCAGTGACTTTGTAGTAATCCTGGTGCTGGTCCTTGGACTTCGAGCCAGGAAGTCCTCTTAAGCACCCCTTTAGTAGAGATTCCACTAGGACTTTGAAGGAAGAGGATGTTAGACCAGAGATGGAGAAAATTAAAATCAATTAGAAAACCCAAACCTAGAGCCCCAAACATATCAAGGGCTGTCAATTCATTTTCATTTGGCTTATCTTTATTGTTTTGGATTTTTTTTACTACTTTAAATTTTATTTTATCATTATTTACTTAGTTTAGTTTTTATAATTTATTTTTATTTTTGTGCATTGGTGCTTTTCCTGCATGCATGTTGGTGTGAGAGTGTCAGATACCCTGGAACTGGAAAGAACTGTAAAGACAGTTGTAACCTGTCATGTGGGTACTGGGAATTG